CGCGCATACCCGGCATTGGGACAGCACTGCCGGCATGGCCGCTATGTGCGGCAGCATGCCGTGACCGGCCCTTGCCGGCCGTTCGGCCACTTTCCTTGATCAAAATGACATAACATGACATGATTAACACATTTATACATACATGGGTCTGAGGGTCATGATAATAACATGAAATTTGATCTTATTTGACATGATGGGCCACGGCGTGCGCGATAGGCGCGTCCGACGGCCCTAACGTGTACCCTCGACCAAACATGAACTTTTCTCGAGCAACATGAGTTCATTGACCATAATTTATCATTTAAAGACTGTTGGAACACAAATGTCCCTAACAAAATTGATCACAATGAGAGATACCCTAATAGGGTAAGACATGGCCCGTGCTACGTGCGCGGTCCACTTCCCTTAGCCAAACCGTGAACAAAATGAATACTTATCTCGTGCCATCTTTTAAAACTGAACATATCACATTAAATAAGGACTAATGATGCATGGTTTGCTCGAGAGAAGTTGGCTATATAAAGAGATGTTATAATATGGCCTAAAATGCACACCCGAGAGCATTTTCGAAGATTACATGAACTTAGACTCATAATTTGAACTTGGTATGATACAAGTAACATCATAACAGGGTTAGAATCATATTACCCTTTGATTGCCCGAAGAAAGTTGGCAAGAAATTGGTGTTAGTTCGGACCCTTTCTCTTCTTCGCGCGCGTACGGTGAGTTTGGATTAAAATATCTTAATCTTGTTTATTGTTTGCTTAAGAGTTGCTTAGGAAATAGATTAAGTTATAAGATGAAATATGTCCAAACGTTGGACTTTATAGGCGGTGAAAGGGATGAAAATGCAAGGTAAAAGCTCACGGCCAATGGCCTCGTGCCATTTGCCGCGCAATGGGGCCGTGAGGTGGACTTTGGATGGCTTAGTCACCATTACTTGGCACAAGAAGGCCACTTGGCTAGGGTGATGGATATTCACGTGATTTTGCCCCAAATTTCCATCCACTTGAGTTCATTAATTAGTTAAGCACGTTTAGGGCATGATTAAGCGTGATTACCCTAGGTTAAGGCGATTAGAAGAAAATTAAGCACTCTAGCCGTGCATTGATCAATGTTTAAGGACATATGATAGTAGAATAATTACTTAGGCTTAAAATGAACATAATTGAGGTACTTAAAGAATCACTAAGTACGATTAGGCACATGATCACGCACGATTAGTGCGAGATTAGCACATTTACCGCTCGATTAAATACGATTTGATTCGATAATATTTTTATCGGGCGATTGAACACAAATTGACTTATACCTTGAATATTTAATGCTTCCAAGAATAATATGAATATTACGAAACTAAGTACGTAATTTACATTAAGTAAAAATGAGCTATTACACCATCCTCCATAAATAACCCACGAGAGGTCGAACTCCGTGGACAGGCCGATTGGTGATGGCCGAACTCGCCGCACCCAAAGCACCGCAGACCGCGACGCTGTCCCGTCGCTGCTGGCGGCGGCCCACTCACCCCCGGCTGCCGCTGTGGTCCGGTCCCAGCCCCTGGAAAACGCCCGGCTGCCGTCGTTGGGCTAGCTCCGCTACCCGAAGCCGGAAAAAATCGGCCTGTTGTTGGACCCCACCGGTAGATGGTCCTGCCCGTGTGGTAGAGGAAAAACTCGAGCCCGTTTTTCGAGCTAGCAGTTGCTCGACAAGCCGGGCTCGTTGATGTGCATCCGAAACAGACTCCGGTCGTACCAGATTTAACATGTCCTGTATAGCAATTAGCAACCACTAACATACCGTGAAATCAATTGGGTCTTCGTTTCCCGTACCTCAACACGATTCAACAGTTGATAAAATTCGTTCGTATAGACATCAACCAAACGAGTTCCCTGTCTCAAGTTATGTAGCTGTTGATATACTACACTGTCATAATTAAAAGGTAAAAACTCATCCTCCACATACTTACGGAATTTCATCCATGAAATAGTCGGAGACTTCCCTTGACGACGCCGCATGCTCGTAATATGCATCCACCAAGTCGCAGCTCGACCACGAAAGCGAGTAGCAACGAATGCACGCTTCTCTTCCGGGACTGCCTGAAATGCCAAAACCGATTCCACTGTAGCCCACCAATCAACAAAATCTCTCGGCTCCACACTACCATGAAATTCAGGGATGTCAACCCGAACATTCGACTCCCAACGCGAGTCCTCGCCACCTTCTATCGGGCGCCGACCCTCACGCCGATGCTGCCACGTCTTATCCGCCCCTTCGCCATCACCGAAGCGGCCGCGTCTGTGGAAACCAGCCGCTGCTCCAGGCCCCTGACCCCTATGCAGGTAACCTCCGTCATCATCCCATCCTTCGTCGTCGGACTGTGGACCTCCCGACGGAAATAGCCGTCGTCCTCTGCCTCACCTCCGACCTGCCACGGGCCCCTCGCGCGGCGTCCATCGCCGCCGTCACGCCACCCTGGCTCAAACCCACGCCCGCCGCCACCATGTCCATGAAACCCTAACCCTCCGTCGACGAAAGGGTTATCTACCATCATGGTGTCGTGGAATCGCCACCGGTCGGTGGTGGTTGTGGCGATCGTTGACGGGCCGCCCCGCCAAACCCTCGACCTCCCCGACCACCGCGTTGTCCCTCGCGAGTACCCCGGCCAGTAGCATCGCGATTTCGTCGCATCTCGTCCATCATTGTACGCATTGTCAGTCGCAATTCATCAATTCCCGTCGTGATATCCGTGAATCGTTCGTCAATTCCGATTAAACGGTCGTCGATTCTCTGAAATCGCTCGTCAACGGAGTTGTCGTTCACGGTATTGTTCTTCTTCGGCGGCATCGTGAATCGTCAGCTGGTCTGCTGATACCAACTGATGTAGAGGATGTATACGAAAGGGAATAAGAACACAAGAACAGTTCACTGTTTTCTCAAAATGATAATACGATGAATGAGATTTCTGTTCACTGCGTGGGTACAAATAAGAAGAGCCCACTACTCTTTAACTTCCTAAAATAACTGCCTTATTAAATAATTAACTGGCCCACTAATAGAAATAACTAAACTAAAAATAATAATGAATATAAATCCAACAAATGGAAAAGACCGGGAAAATAAATAATCTAAACTCGGAGACGGTCATATTTATGTAGAAACGCTAACGCGGCCTCGTCTCCATCAGGTTTGTACTTTGTAGTGAAGGGAAAATCATTGGTTTTATGATCGCCAATTTTATTTGCTCAACAGCATTTGTATTTTGTTTAGCTTATGAAGTAGTTGGATTAGTTTTACCATGAATCAGGATTCAGGACATGTGAATGTAAGAAAAAAAATATAATTAGGTAAAATATATTTTCATTTTCGATGTGTTTTGGATGCCACATTCAAGTTTGCGTAACTGGTCTGGTCAAGACATCCATCCTGGTCATAGTGTTGGCTTTCATGTAATCATGCAACTTTTTAATTAGATTTTTGGGTGTTTAATTGGTTGGGTGGATTCATGAAATTTTAGTTTATAGAGCCCCAATAAACCATAAACCTTATACATATGAGGCGAAATTTTTCCTTTTTCATCTTTTGTAGAAGATGTGGCTTATTTTTGTAAGTATTGTTTATGTATATATTTACAATTGCATATTAGAAACTAGGTCTGACTTCTGAGCATGAGACTCGGAGAATCCCGAACCGTTCCGAAAATCGAATCGAAATCACTCCGAACCAAAAAAATAACTGTTGACCATTTGACGTTCTATGAATCGAACCGAACCGAAAAAATAATTGGTACGGTTCTGGAGTTTTCACAAATATCAGTACCGAGAACCGAACCGATCTGTTCCATATCGTACCGAACCGAAAAATCAAAATTAGGAACCGAATTATGAAAATAGATATGTGTTATTAATATATTTTATGTCATCTTTGATCTTATATATTTTGAGAATTTTTAAAATGCAAATAAAATATAATAATAACAACTAAGCTTCACTTAAATTTCATGCTTAGTAATACTGATCTATACTTGAATTTTTTCTGTTTAAAAAAATATTTAAAATGGAATGAAAAGTTAAAGAAATATTATTTCAAAAAAATATTTAAACTTTTTGTACCAAAAAAAAAAAATATTTAAACTTTACTTAAACTTGTCGATACTTAATCTTATTCTATCTAATAACTAACACGGCATGGAAGGTTATAGAAATATTACTTTAATAAAAAACTATGTTATATTTTGTTTGAATTTTAAATTTTCGATGTTAGTTGCAAAAATTAAGTCTTAACTAAAATTTAGAGTTCTAAAGCAGTGTTTTCAATACTGTACCATACCGGCCGGTAATACCGAATACCGGTCATTGGTACGGTACAATTGTACACAGAATACCGGATTTACGGTTATACCGGTTTGTACCGGGGTCATACCGTAAATACCGAAAAAAACCCGTCCAAAATACCGGTCATAAAAAAATTTTAAAAAATAAAAAAAAAATTAAAAATATAAAATTTAAATTGGTAGTTAGAATATTTTATTTTTATCTCATTGGTAAGTTAAAATTAATGATTATGGTCATTTATTTTTTTTACTTTTTTGCATTTGGTATAATACATTTTTATATATAAATATATATATATCATTATATTTGCTAATCCGGTAATACCACCAATATTACCGGTTCTACCGGTAATATCGTGTACCGGTGGCTAGACTGGTATAAATAAATTAAGAGATTTTCCTTGAGCAAGAAATGATTAAGTAATATTATTAGATAATATATTAAACTAATTACCTTTTACGATCTTAAAATGTATGTTTAAACGTTTTAGCAAAAAATATTAAAAATGAAAATCCAAACATCAAGTATACTATAAGCTCGGTTCGGTCTGCATGAATAGAATTATATAGTGTATTCGGAACGGATATTCGATCCATCCATGACTTTTTTTATACTAATTACGAGAGAATATATGAAATAAACTATCTGAAAGCAAGAATCAAATAGAATGAAGATGAAGCTTATTTTCATTGATATTTTTGGGAGAAGTAATTTACTCTCTCTCTTCCGAGATTTTTTCCTTTAGATAAGATTGGCTCCTCCTCCCCTTTACAATGATCCTAGCAAACTGAAAGCATAATTATAATGTTTTGACTGAGCACTGTCCCATTTGGATAAGGTGGAAATAGCAAATTGCGGATGGGCAGCCCAAAACGCAGTGTCCTTGGAAAAAAATATTGGTGGTGGTGGACGGGCTCTATAGTGTGGAAGGATAACTTAGGCAAACTGCCCAATTGTTTCGATATGCAAGAAACGCAGGGTGTATATACATGGTAAGGCTATTTCCCCCTTATGGTTGATAAGCACTATCATATAGTAATGTTTTGTACGAAACTAAGATTGAGTTTGGAAAACCATAGCTTTATGGGAAATCTATTAAGATTTCTTTTCGCTGTTGTATTTCTCAAGAATTCATCTATTGTGTTGCACTGGTTGTTATTCTTTTTCCTCAATTTTATAGAGGGAGACCCGGCGTGGCGGCTAGACGGTGGATCCGTGAGAGTGATCTTCCTATATACCACAAAGGAAATGAATAGCAAGGCAGTTTTCGTATATAGTAATTAGTAAGAGCACTCTGAGAATAGCAAGGCAGTTTTCGTATATAGTGCTACAGAAATTTTCTTGCACAGGTGGTTAGCAAATTTGTTTGGGGATTACAATATACTCAGATTGTTTACTTAATTGTGAATGAAATTGAGCTCAATTGCGCGGGTCACCAACGGCTCAGATTTTACCACTGTTCTGAAAATCGGACTGGACCGGTCAGTTCGACCGGCAACCGACAACCTAATCGGCTCGATTTAAGTACAATACCGTCGGAATTCAAATCCGGAGTTAAACCGTTCGAACCGGTTTAGCACCGGATAAACCGTCAAACAGGCCACGGTTCATGATGGTAACGGGTCATTTTTGAACGCTGCAATGAGCTGCCTGGAGAATCACTATATCACAGAATTTTTTTCCTACTACTTTCGATGTCGGATATGCAGACAAACAAATGCTTGCTTAAATTAATGGGAAATTTTGACCTGTGCTACACGATTTTTAGATAATTGCAATATTACCATCCATACCAATTAAATCGTGTATATACCTAAAAGATAAATATTAATTATAATCATGCCTAAAATCAGTTACAAGGTAAGTGGAACAACCTTCCATGTTCCTAGCGCGTAATTTCAGGAAATCGGGCAAAGAGTACGAAATTTCACGAAATCTTCATCGTCTATATATATTGCTTTAACGTATACTGCAAATAAACTGTACATATACCATAATACAGAAAAAATCTAGTTCATGTATGGAATGATTATATCTCCAAAATAATATGAGCAGTTCTGATCGACATGTGCATCTCATAATTGTGTTTGGAGTGGGAAATCAGGTTTTCATGTAATAGAAGAACAAAAAAGAAAAAAAATATAATAGTTAGAGAGATATATTTCATGATCGGAATTATGTTTCCATGTTCATTTTTTTATTTTATATTTTTTGTTCTATCTTTGATCATTCATTAAATGGATTTTTTTAGTTTCAATTGGTATATGTGTCGGTTTTTTTAATGGTATATATATAATTTTTTTAATCATTTTTAATGGTATATATATCGTTTTTTAAGGATATATATATCGTTTTTTTTTTAAACATTGCTCCTTTGAGAATATACCGAAAATATACTGAATATAAACCCTGACTTTAAATCTTTAACGGTAGAATATACCGAGAATATACTGATAATATACCGTCGAACGTCTTCCTGATAATATAAACCCTGGTCGAAATTTATTCTTATTTTCTGGCAGGGACGCGGGTCATATACTGTATATATACTCTTTCTCTCTCATCATCGTTCACCTCATCGTACAGAAATCTCAGAGCTCCCAACCTTTGAGAAATCGCTAAGATAATCCCAAGCCCTTCTCGGTTTTACCTTGTCGTCACCCCTTACCCAACCGCCCGTACTAGCCACCACCGCCGGCGACGACAACAGCGCAGCAACAGATTTCCCATCGCCATAGATTCCCTCAGATTTCGGCAACCCTCTTCGTCAGCCCCTTGCGGGTGAACCACAATCAGTCATCATCTCAGCTGCGTTTTTAGGAGGGCTATCGAGCAATAAGGTTGATCTGCTTTATAAATATGTAGAGATTTTTTTTTTTCCAGAATGGAACAGTAATTTAAACGGATAACAAGGGGAGGGCGTTGGAAAGGATGTGATAACTTATTTAGACATTAATCTAATTAAATATGTTGATTTAGGTAGATACGCAATTATTTTAGTTACTATGGTAGAGTTACAAAAATTGAGGAATCTTCTCGTATGGAGTGCAAAATTCTCGTTTGATAGCCCATAATTTTATATAACAATCAAATCGGGAAAATTTTATCCATACTACACGAAAATAAAGTATTTTCGAATTTACCTTCCTACAACAAATAATTTGGTATATACCTAATGAATAAACTTTAATTAACTAATTGCCTAAATATCAGTTACCAATTGTAACTTTCTCCAACCCATATGTGGGTGGCGTGATTTGCGCATGATTACCAGGAAAAAAATAAAAAACCTCCATCCCTCATTTTATGGGATTGATTAAGTGAGAGAATTGAAAATATGCTTATAATAACTCATTTAATTCCTTAATTCGCGCACTTTTTATATTTTTAGTAGAGAAAGAGATAAAAAAACATGTATTGTAATTCACGCAGCTGTCGAATGGGTATATGTTGCGTTTATACTAGTATATATTCAGTATATGTTGCAATGAAAAACATGTCTTCCATCAAAAAATTATGTCTTTTTTTTTACTTTTATACATAAAAGTATATATATAGTTTATAAACATACTAGTGTGTGGCCCGTGCGATGCACAGGAAAACAATATTATGATTGTATTATACATTAAATATATAAATAACATTAATCATGATTTATCCATTGATTTTAAATTAAACCGGATTGGACACAGTCCGACCGGATGGACCGAGAACCGATTTATAACCAGTCTAGTTCGGTTAAATAAATGTTTGCTCTCGAATCCGTCAACACCAGTCGGTTGGACTGGTAGGATCGATACGATTTTCTAAATAAATTTTGTTATATTTAAAATTATTTTAAATAAAATTACATATTTAAATGAAATAGAGATTTATAAATTATTTATCAATTAGTTTAAATGTTTGAATTTATAAATTATTTAGATATCTATGTAACACATTTTATTTAAATTTATTATAAATATTAAAATGTTTATAAATTAAAATCTGAACAACCACAAATGATTAAATAAAATAGCTTGATCGTTTCGATGATGTTATTAATAAATATTATAATAAAATATTATTTAATTCACATAAATTTTAATAAAATGATATATAAATATTTATAAATCATTAAAGATGTTGTCATAAAAGTATTGTTAATACGATTATTTAAAGTTTGGACTGCATCACATTCACGTAATAAAATATTTTCAATATAAAATTTATATTTAGATTCAATAATCGATTTGGTGTGGTCGAACTGGTACATAACTTAGTCACCTGGAACCAACCAAGTTGTGTCAAGTTTTTTTACTATTTTAAATATCACTTAAAATTAATTCAATCAACTTGGACAGTACCCTAATTCAATCACCCGATTGATTCGAAGAAATTTTCTTATTTTCTTTAAATATATCTAATTTTATCTAAAATTAATTCAATCAACCTAGACAGTACCCTAATTCAATCACCCGATTGATCCGAAGAAATTTTCTTATTTTCTTTAAATATATTTAATTTTATGAAATAAAAATATTTTATTATTCATATAATAAGTGTCTACACCAACTGATAGTATATAAAGATTATAAATTATATATCTAAAGATGAATTAATTATTTTCACTTTATGCATATTAATAAAAAATAAACATAGTAATTTTCAAAAAATTAAGATTAATTGATTGATTATGCAATTTAAATAATATTTTTAGCGTTCAATATTTTTTAAAAGGCACCAATATAAAGTTATATTTTGATATTGAGATTTTATAAATATAGAGACCGAGATTTTTATATTAAAAAATAAAAATATTTTAATCATTTAGTGTATATCGTTGCATAATTATAGTTACTAAAACACACACTTAATAAATCTTAGCCTGATTTTTTAAATAATTAAATGAACTAAAGCCCGAAATTTAAGGTAGCATTTAATGTTGTATGATTTTTAAAGAAAAAAATAAAAAAAATAATAAAACTTACTATTTATAGGCTGCATTAAATTCTGACCTATTTTTGCTACTATTTTTAGTAAATAGTAATTCTTATTATATATATAATAAATTTTTTTTTTAAATATACAGAACATATACTCCATATATACACAACATATACCCGCAACATATACAAAATGAAAACTGGCTATCAACGAATCAAGTACATCAAGTGTTCGACAATAAATCTTATATTATACAGAACATATACTCCATATATACACAATATATACATAAACATAAAATAAACATTGAAATAATCCGATCGAAACTCTTCAAATGTCGCTCGAGTTATCGTACTCCACCCCGCTGGATTTCGACCGGCCTGATAATCCCCTGGTTCGAGTGCCTCTTCTTTGCCATGTTCACTATTCGAGTGCCTATTCTTTGCCATGTTCACTAAATCCCTTCTGCTTATGTGAGAAAATACAACTGCATACACCACCCTCTCCTGCCAAAACTCAAATGTAAAACCAGAATATTAGAAAAGATTGTTAAAACTATTTAACTGGTCATTAATATTCCACGACTAATGACTCGAACCAGTGATCAAATACCAATTAGTGGGAAATTTAGTTTTTGTTTAAGGTAAAATAACCCATATTTGAACTCGAGCTCCAACACACATAAAGAAAGGAAAGAGAAAGAAAATTAAATTAATCACAGTACCCATCTTCTTAGTTGGGAGTTTCAGATGAATTGAAAAACTGACGATTCTTCAAAAGGAAAAAAAAAAGAGAGAAAAATTCTACATGTAGGGAAAGAGAAAATATAAACGTAAAATTGTAGGAGAAGAAGAAAAAGAAGAAGAGAGAGGGGAGGGAGAGGGAGAGAGAAGACGCAGAGAGAAGAGGAGGGAGAGAGATAAAGTCCATATTTAATTTCAACTAAAGATTTCATTAGCATTTAATAAGCCACAAAAAAGGTAATAACAATTACATCTAATATGTTAGGTATAATTGAAATATCTTGAACTTGTTTAGGTAATTTTATAAATAAGAATATAAGGAATATATAATTGTAATAAAAATCATAGCTTGAAGTAAGGAGTGTAAATTCCTCTTTTTTTTTTTCTCTCAGTACACATTTTGGGCAAGTAGCAATCTTACCAACTTATAATTTTCTCTCATATTTCTCAACTAAATTATGATTTACAAATCACTTTCTGCACTGTCTATTCCTTTTTTTTTCATCAATTAGTCCATCAAAAATTTTAAGTAAAATTTTTATTTTAGCAATAATGTTTATCATATATTTCTTAATTCAATACCCGTGTAGTACACGGAAATTGTACTAGTAATAA